ACTTCTGATCAAGTAAGAGTCTGTAACGAAATATGTAAATCATTTGTAGCCGACAACGGCGTTCATCAAGAGTGCCCTATTTCACCATTCCTATTTAATTTCATTTACGACGAAACACTGAAGAATGCCCTCGACGGCTTGGTCATGTTTTGCGTATGCTTGCCCATCGTCACCTCTGCATGCTCTATTGACCAGACAAAACTCAGTCTCACATGGCTAACTACTTGGGCACCACTTATCTTCCTTTGTTTATCCACGCTTGCCTCTTGAGAGGTCACTCCAGCAAATAGACACGGGTAGGGACAGTTTACCAGTCAAAAGACACCCACTAGTTGGATGTAGGAGCAGGGTACATGCGGATTCCTACCGACGGTGGAAGAAGTTTTCGTACTATATTGAACAGCCACCGCCCGCCCAAGTTGGGTAGACCTCAGCCGCTAAAGTGCTATCCGGGCCGCGGTTCGCCTGTCTCATTGGGTACACGAGGCAAAGGGCCGATCCCAGTCAACGTACTAGCGAACAACACTGAAAACCCCCGTCGTCGGTGTGGGCTTCCGCGAAGTTTACCGTGCCATAAAGTCTAAGGCATCCATTTTTAGGGATGGAAAGTTAGTCTTAGTCTTGGATTCGACGAAACTCCAAGGCTCAATATGAGAGAAGGAACAACTTCCAACTGAGTGGTGTGACTCAGTTATCTAACCGATTACTTGCACTCACCCTCTGAGGTGATCAATGGAGGCAAATGAGAACTTGAAGTACCACGGGAGCTTGATCACAGCTGAAGGTGGTGTTGGGGAAGAGATCGCAACGTGGATAGCGAAGACTAAAGCAGATTTTGCCAGCCTGGGACACCCACAGGGAAGGGTTTACATTGCTGGGTTTCCTAATGTTCTGCGTTATGGTTATGAGAACTGGCCTCCGAGCGGAAGATCCTAATCGACTTTCCGGAGGTAAGCCGTCGTATGTTTAAGATTTTATCATGGATCAATCGGCTATGGTGTCGAATTCAGCACAATCGACTTCGTTGGTTGGGGCGCGTATTGAGTATGTCTAACTGTCGTCTACCCTACCGCACTTTATTCGCTGTAGCCGCGCCGGACTGGAGGAAACCACGTGGAGGTCAACACATGACTTGGAGCCGATAGAGGAATGTGCACAGCCATTAGTTAGAGTAGGTGTCATATCTTGTAGTTTGGGGTCCGAAGGACTCTCAATCTGATTGATTGGAGACATTGTAGGATATCAGCGAACCGTCAGCAGTGGCGTTCTTGTTGTCATTTCTTATCAGGCCAGAATGATTGAAACGAAATACATGCACACTTAGATTGTGTGCTCTATGTTTTGATCATTGAGGTTCACTTTCTTCTCCCCTCTGTCAAAATACACCCAATCCTTGGCCTCCATCACCATTATACATATTCTCACTAACTATGTATGTATTGCGAGTTTGGCGGCGGTCGGCCAAGTTCGCCTCATTGTATTTCGCTGTCCCAAAATGATGATGACAAGAAAGCAATCTAGAGGCTCCAATACCACCATCAGCAAAAATCCGTCTTACCGAAACCTGCGAACGGAATGCGAAAGCATCGCCATGAACACAGTCCGCAATTGTCACATTGGCGTTACATATTTTTTGTAATTTCGGATACCATATGCGCCTTAATCCCAGTCCATCAAATCTCCGAACTATGTTCAATGTACTGATAGTAACTCAACGGATCCACCGACAATTCTGGACTAAAGGATTTTGCATTTGCATCGAGTAAGCGAGCTCACAGCTCTAATTGTTTGGGACCAAATACCTCCTCCACCGACTCTCCTTCGCTTTTGGGAATCCTCCCGAAGTCCATCTACAATCGCGTTATTCGCGGCAATAGATGCCCTCGAGACCACCACGAACACTGCTTTTTACAAGATACTATCAAGGCGTAGTATCGTATTTATCGTAGGAAACTTAAAGGCCCGCCAGTGACCCTGAATTGAGTTCTCTTGACATGTGCCAGGGAGATTTGGCTATAATCAGCTCTGCTAGAATGACAACGACCTTGTGAATTCCCCTGATTTAAACAGACAAGTTGTTTGCATCGCGAAATTTCAGCACTCCTGGGAGGCATTCACTGACAATTCATTCAAACGGCAATCATCTTGCGCACCAGTTCGATCACCCTTTGATACAATCACAATCGTTATCTTCGGTTGGGCATTGCAATGCTTATTACAGAGCTCAAAGCGGGAAGAAGAACGTCACCAATCGTGTCCTCTCACGTGGTCGCTTCAAGATCCATTTCTCCAATCGCCGTTAAACCTACCCGAAGAAACCGATCATAGACTGCGGCTTTAGATATCCAAGAGCATTACTGAGCATTAGCGTGAATTATTGCTTCTCGTCTGGCCACCAATGCGTAGTTAACCACGGGTGTCTCCATTGAAGTCGCTTAGAACCAGATCGCGATACTCAACTACCGAAAGGCTGTCGGAATTACTTCAACACGCCTACTTCGCCCAACCACCGAGCTGCCGATATAGGCACTCAATCATTCAGGTTCAGGTTGGAGCTGGGTGAATGCTCAAAACATAGATGGTTCATTCAGTCGTGGCCTAGGCGTGCACTCATGCGACGGAGTTGGCCTATGAATCCAAGATCGGACCACTATCTGTGCTGACCTCGTCACCAAACGCCGCCGCGCATAGAAAGCTGCAGTTCCAAATATTCAGTAGACCGACTCATTTTGTACCAGGAGATAGTAGTGAAAAGCTACAAAGCAAACTACTTTAAGTTCCAATACTACAATCGTCATAGCCAATTATTATACTTATCCTTTCTAGGCTTCTTAACATCAGGGTGTACTAAAATAGCTACTTATGGCTTTTAGTTACAATTCTGTTCAGTGGCAAAGTTTTTTTTAAAATCTGGACTATGGGTCAATTAAGTGAGTTTCACTACTCCGTCAGAGTGCCATTACTTGCGTGCTTTAAGGGCTTAAAGTAGATTTTTCACACGGATTTTGTTCAAGCTATATGAATTCTTCTATCGTGCTTCCTAAAGTTTTCCTTGTTTTTTTCTTCTAAAAATTCCAAATCACTCGCATGCTTCAGGAGAAATGATGGTTCACAAGTTACTATACACGTCCCTCTGTCGGAACCCATTCTCCTTCCCCGCCCTTTAGAGCACTTTTTCGTTGATTATGCCGCGCTTGTCCGTTTTTTTTTTATTTGTTAGGCTTCGTCGGTAAACAAAATAAACGAAGCACATAGCACTTGATTCAGTCTTCAATTTAGTCCACAATTTTTATGCGTCACTTGCAGGTCTGAACGTTTGGCAAAACGCTACTGGGATAAACTGTTCAAGGAGTACTGTTTAGTCGATCTGTCGCGGTACAAGGAGAACAAGGTGAGTTCTTCAATCTTCTGCTAAGTGTGTACGTGTCTGTAAGAGCTGTCGCGTCATCCGATCCAGTGGCCTCACAGATTATTGGGCTTGGCTTCTTCCTGTACAATTCCATTTCCGCCCGGATGAACCATGTCATTTACGTGTAATGGTCACAGCGTCAAAACAAGCATATTAAACCTTCCATACTATTTGTTCTGACATGAAGGTAGGTCGACTTCATGGATAAATCCAGGAAGGGCCTTGTATATGTAGTACCAAATGGCACCTCCAACACCTCTGGGATGCTAACCCTAGCACAAGTAATTGCTCCTGTCTCTAGGATAACAGGGTGGTGCCGATCACCATATTTAGAGATTCGCCTACATACGTGTTTTTCTTGCTTCCCGGCGAAAACAGTTAACCACCTAAGTTGTTATTCTCCTCCTCCTCCTTGCTGTGCAATACGGTGATAGCGCTGTCGCGACATCCGGTTGTCTATGAGCAGCCCAGTATATACTGCAGCAGTTCAGTCAGTTTTGCTATACGGCACAGAAACTTGGCTATTACAAAAAAACAGGATAGAGTAGATTGTCGGTGTTTTTTTCCGATCCGAAAGCCTCGGTATGGTCGGGGATGGGTGTCTCGGGTTGTAGATTTTCACCCCTCCCTTGCACCACAAGAAATGTTTCCGTACGACCAAGTGTCTCAAACAGCTTCTGCTGAGGAAGCCCTACTCACTTCCTTCTCGTGGTGGTGTTTTCCCACCAAAGTGAGGGAACAAAAAGCCAATATCCAGGGCTGTAACCGGGTCGGTGAACCGCTGGCAGTTCAACCAGGGCAGTTTGCTCAACCCCCTGTAACCAGGTCAACCAGTAAGAGGCGTACGAACCACACCCACCCACACCTTCCTTGTCGTGGTCGTGGTAACCGCCTCGATTGGGTATCGGGGTGTATGGGGCATCTTGGACGTTTGACCCCGTCCAAATGGCGTATTAGGGTTGTTTGTTCATGCTAAGACCTGGCACGAGGGTATGAAAGCCTTAACCAGGAGACTGGGTCACATAGGTCCTTTTAGGCTCCCTGGCTGGAGACCTCGGGATGATCGTAATCAATGGTTAGAGACACTGAGTGATATGGCTGGGTGTCGCAAACAGTGACGTTCGTGCATCTCTTTGCAACCTTAGACCACTGAACTTCTCCATTTTCTTTTCGACTCCACTTTTAACTTTCCTTTATTCTCCTATTCTTCATCCAAATGGGCAGCCAAAAGACAGCAACCAAAATCGGCGCACGAATATGCGGGGTTAATGGATGTTCAAACTAAAAACTGATTATCCCATTTACTGGACACCGGCCTCCAATGGATTTGGTTTTCACACACTGCCCCATTGCCTTGCAGGTCAGGCTTTGGTAGGTAACCGGAGGCTCCGGCTGTAAACTTTCTAAGAACATTCACCTGCTTTGCCCTCGGTAACATAATAGTACCACGCCCTCGAGCTGATCGCGGACCTTGTTTTTTATTGTGCCGTGATTTGTTTGGCACACAGTCTGAAGTCAGGCAAAGGAAACAATGGTATACAGTTGGTAATACGCAACTGGGAAGAGTGTTCCACAATTTCTCATTTTTGCGAAAATCGAAGTCGAGGATAAAAGTCTAACATCTGATGAGAGAAACCTGATAAGAGTAACTCCGCTGAACTTCTCAATTTTCTCTTCGATCCTGCCTTCAACCCCCTGTTTTCCTCTTACTGTTCATCCACATGGGCAGCCAAAAGAAAGCAACCAAAAGCGACGCACGGAAGTGCATGCTTAATGATTGTTCAAAGTGACACTGATTGCGCGTAACGCCAAAAGATGCGTCTGGACTTATGTGGTGGGACGGGGCCAGAAAATGACAAGGAAGAAATGAGGCAATGTTTCGATAAACCTAAAGGGGAAGTGGTATTGAAGAAGGAAGAGGCAATGGATGTGAGAATGAGGTCAAGGACGTATGTGATCGAGGTCACCAATGCGATCAGCGATGTGTGAAGAGATCAACTAGTTGACTCGGATTGTTGACCACTACAAAAGCCTCGGCTTTGCATTCCATGATCGAAGTGTCTGAAGAGTACATCAGCTATTCCGTGTTGTGGACACTGAACTCTCCAACGATGGGACAATGGGGCTCTTGATATCTACCGTCATCAATGTCTCAATGTTGGCAGTTTGAATATCAAAGAGAAAAGCACTGTTAATGTTCGGGTAGCGGGAAGTGGTACAATAGTAGCGGTTAAAAGAAGAAAACCGAATTTTCAGCCAAATAAGCTGTAATTTGCGGTTGGAGAAATCCAAGTGTTAAAGCCTGGGAGAAGTGATAGAATGGTAAACATCGGCGTTGAGAAAAAAGAACAATAAAGAATGCAATTGATTGATTGAAGATGAGTAGTATCTGAGGAGAAATAGATTTGCGTTTCGGTGTACAATAAAGCCATGGGAGAAACTGATTGCAGAAAGTGGAGTACAGAATCAACATCCTGATTCAAGCCACGAATATTGAGGACGGTAGCAAGAAAATGATTTCTGATTTCTGTGAATGGGTGCTCATGCGATTGTTCAGTTGACTAGTACGGGTCATGTTTTGATGAGAGACAAAACTGGCAACCCAAGTTAAAGTACGCTTCGACACCATGAGAATGGCATTCCCGCAACTTCGCCAAACACTCTGGGCACACAGGGAGTCCAATCTCAGAACCAAAGTTCGAGTCTTTCAAGCTGCCACTCGGCTTATATTGATTTACGACTGAGAAACCAGTTCTCGGTGAATCAAGGACATGACCGTCGATGTCTTCGATAAATCCTCGAACTAGCTTGAGGTGACACGATGCGGTAACGCTGTTTTCTGTGTAGAAAACTAGTCTGTATTCTTTCCACGTGGACGACTGCAATAGTTTGGACATGTGTGTTCGAATCCCAGATACGAAAATTTCTAAACAGTCCCTTTCGCCCGGGTTGCGCTGCCAACTTGGTGGAGCATTGCAAAAGTGAGTCAGCACTACCAAGTCAAACATCGACCGATTCGAACTGCGGTATCTCTCTCTACGGTGCTCGTCTCTGGAAGCGGAGCTCGATTTCTCTGTGCTTCGACTTCGCATTTGTGCGAGTGCCATTTGGGGATATATATATATATATATATATAGGGATTGAAAGCAATAACAAAATCGAATAACAAATGAAAACAATGTTTACATATCTTTTATCTCCTTTCCTTCTATCCCTTCATTCTATATACGACTGAATTCATCAAGATTCCAAGCCTGTATAACATCTTTATTAAAATTATCTTCGTT